TATATGTCTACAATGTTAAGGGGAGCTGTCATCCATTAGTTTCTAAGATCTACTGGGATTCAGGTAAAACTTCTGTAGTAAGGACACTCATTTAGTAACATGGAAAAACAATTAACAGAGACAGAGTATCCCTGAAAGGACAAGGAGGACTAGGGTCTTGTGTACTGGGAGAATGTCCAGTGTGGCAACATAGAATCTAAATGATATAATTAAGTGGATACAAACTCATAAGTTTGTTTAGGGAAAGTCTAGATATTGGTTTTCATGAAAACAAGAGTGGTGTTGAGTAGAGATCCCACACTGCACACTCTGAGCATCAATTAGGGTTTCAGTTAGGAAATGGACATGATATTATCACTGTAGGTTAGGAAAAATGAGATTTGAAAAATAAGAAGTGAAACTTGATGGTGGCATTACAGACACATAGACCTAAATCATTTCAGAGAGACTTGATGAAGTCCATAGATGGCAGGGTATCAATGATCTCAGGGAAACTGCCTGAAGAGTAGCTCCTGTGGGAATGGCGGATGCAAAGAGCAATAGTGAGATATGATAACGTAGTTGGTAGTGCTAACTTCTGGTGGAAATTTCAGAGATACATAATAATTTCTGTCACAGATGTGCTGAGTCTAAATGCTTGTCAAATGCTACCAAAGTCAAGGTTCTAGAATGTATACCTTATGTGATTGTCAGTAGAGAACATTTAAATGTTAGGCAATATGAGATTTCCTAAAATCGAATATGCAGCAAAAAGAAGTATGGGCTAATCTTGAACAACTCCAATGTTTCAAGAGTTGGTAAAAGAAAACAAGCCAGCAAAATTTGTGGGAAATTTGCAGCAAAGGATTAGGAAGAAAATATGGAATGGCAGAATGGCAGATGACACTGGGAAAGGTTTTAAGGAAGAAAGTCTCTGTTGCTGAAGAAGCATTTCTGGATGCTGAAAGGGCCGCCTGCTCGATGTGTAGGAAGAAGAGAGACCAATGCTTGTGTTTAAAATTCTCACGATTTTTCTGAAAATCATAAATAGACTTGATCATGGCATTGCATGTTACATGAAATAGGAGGTAGATGCTGAGCACGCTAGAATGTCTGCTCTGCCTCCTGTTTTTGTCTAGGTGAACTACATGTGCTTCTGTCCTTAATGAGTCATTTTTGTCATCTTTTAAAGCTTGTTTTTTTTACCAGGAACCCTCTTATAATGCCTTTGCTATCTCTTTAATTTATGTGTCTTGTCTTATTCTCTTTTTCATTCTCCTTATTCAGTGTAACTGAACTTTGTAAACTTTTCTATCTACACTGAAACCAGGAGAGATATATTTGAATACCAGGTTAGCAAACTGCTGTGTTCCCTTGAAATGTTTCATTTATATGTATTCCTCTTTTTTTTTTTACAGCAATTAGAATGGACGTGTTGGTGGCTGGTGATAAGCATGCAGAGTTTCTAAGAGAAATAGATTACATAATGTTTAAGAAATTCCAGTGTGTGGTGTTGTAGATCTCCAGGATATGTTAGCCATCATGATTCTTGTTTTAGAATGTTCTGTCTAGAGAGCTATCAAGCCCCTCATTGCCCTCCTCCTTTCCATTGCAAATGTGTTAAACAAATAATTTAAATGGTACTTTTAGATGAAAATTATATAGTTATAAAGCTGAATCTCTTCGTTTCAGGATTGATCTTCTCCAATGGCCAAATATGGAAGGAGCAAAGAAGGTTTGCCCTGATGACACTGAGGAACTTTGGCTTGGGAAAGAAGAGCTTAGAGCAGCGCATGCAGGAAGAGGCCTATCACCTAGTGGAAGCCATAAGAGAGGAAGGAGGTAAGTCCTTCTCGGGGCAGTGGGCTGGGCCTCTTTCATGCATTGAACAGATTCTCACAAAATGTCTAAGTGATCATCCTCCCCCTGAACTAGGTCGGGGTACTGAGGATTGAACAGTGAACATTTAGCCATGACCCTAGTCCAGTTGTTTGGCAGCTAAGGACACAAATGTGTCAATAAACCTAACGCTGTATCTAAGGCCTGTTAATAAGTTTGACTCCCCTGGCATTAGCAGAGTACTTGGTGCAAGTTAGAACCAGTTTACTATTATTTGGCCAGAGCCTCTTACATGTGTGTTTCTGGAATGTTTATTTCTCTGTCACATGAAGTTAATTTATTATAGGAAATAGAAACAAATTAACTTTGAAGGACTCACCTCTCCCTCTCCTCATATCCAGGAAAACCTTTCAACCCTCACTTCAGTATCAACAATGCAGTTTCCAATATCATTTGCTCTGTCACCTTTGGGGAGCGCTTTGAGTATCATGACAGTAGGTTTCAGGAGATGCTGAGGTTGCTGGATGAGGTTATGTATTTGGAGACAACAATGATAAGTCAGGTAAACACTTTTCTTTATGTATTTTTGAAAGGTAGGGCTTGTAAAGTTACTGTATGATGTTTCAAACCTATTTCAAATCCAACTGTTGACTACCATAAGAAACTTGATATATACAATATATTTCTAACATTTATTTTACTACTTTTAATATTTATATTGTTTTATATACATGCATATGTAAATGCTGGGCTCTTAGAAAATGTCAATATTTCCTTCAACTCTTGTTTTCCATGCCTCTCTCTTCCTTTCTCAGAGTTATCATCGCTTTGTTTTGTGATTTCTCTTTGTGCACTGATCTTTGTTATCAAGAGACTTGCAGGGCACTGTCTGAATATGCTGCTGTTTTCTCTGTGGTTAGGTAAATGAGCTGCTCCTAGGTTTACAGTGTTATGATAACAGTTCCCTGTCAGTGTCCATGTGACCTACTCATTTGTCTTATGTTTGCATCTGGATATATAAGATTAAGATTCAGAAGTATGAACTCTTCCTATTCCCATTGACACTTGATGCTACCGGTCTTCTAATACTAGAAAATATAAACATTTGGGGTTCAAAGTCACTCCAAGTAGGCCTCATTATTGATCTCTAATCCTTATATCTCCTCAAATACTCCCCATAGCTTACTGGTCACTCCTCCACCCCCGTAAACATGGAGAACAGTTGTAATGTGAAATTAGCCTCAAGTGTTTGATTTTATCAGCCTCATTTTTCTTCTGCTAGTCTCCTATTTTGGTATGCACATGTTTGAGGATGTGGGTGTATATTATTATATGCTTATAAAACACGTTCGTGGTCTTTTATTTAGTGTGGATGCACTAAATAAAAGATATATACATTTATTATGTGTATGGATACACACAAATCAGACAGCCACTTTAAGAATTAGGTCCTTCAAAAAAAAAAAAAAAAGAAAAGAAAAAAGAATTAGGTTCTTCAATTATGTGTGTACCAGGAGTGAAAAAGCACATGTGTGTGTGTGATCATTTTTATTTATTACTGTTATGCTTTATTAATTGCCATTCCCTTTATGTATTTTTATTCTTTATCTCTTTTGATGAGTATGAATTTGAAATCTGTTTCATCAGATATCAGAATAACTATGTCAGCTTGCTCTATTTCTGTTTGCTTTATAGACTGATTTCCTTTCTTACATCTTTATTTGTGGGTGTCTTTACTACTAAGATGTGTTTTTTGTAGATCATACAAATATTGATCTAGGTTTCAATGTAGTCAATGACTCTGTTCTCTTAGACACTGTGATCATGCTCACTATTTTACTTAATGGATATTTGAATGGAGTGTGTCCTCAACATTGTACTCCATTCCCCATAGTTTTCTGTATAGTTTAGTTTGTTAGTGATGTGTTCTAGTGTACATTTTTGATGCATTCAGTTATACTTTAAAACATAGTTTTTATTTATTCATTTTACATCCTGCTCACTACCCACCTCCCATAATCCTTCCCCTCTCCCTTCCTCTCACCTCTGAGTGGTTGGGGGACCACTGGGTATCCCTACACCCTGGTATATTAAGACTCTGCAAGGCTAGGTGCTTTCTCTCCCAGAGGCCAGACAAGTCAGTATAGCTAGAAGAACACATCCCATGTACAAGCCACAGCCTTTAGGATTTCCCCTGCTCCAGTTGTTCAGGACCCACATGAAGATCAAGCTGCATATCTGCTACATGTTTTATTTTACCAAACCTCATGTCCCTTGCTTCATGTGTCTTCTATGTTGGTGATTTTTCAACCACATTGCTGATTTTCTCATTCATATTGCTGGCCTGTTCCTTTCTACTGTTGACTTCCCATTTTGGGTCATTTATTGCATTCATCTGTTTGCTTATCTTCTCAAAGCCTCATATCACTTTTACTAGACTCTTTTTGCAACTTTTAGATATCATTATGTACTTGTGTTTCTGTTTTACACTTTATGCTGTCTTGGACATCTCTTCTGGAATATATGGAGGTAACAGTTGCAGATGTTTTAGCTTTACCATATTAGTGTTACACATGTTTCCAGAGAGAATGAATCTGAAGCACAGTTACTGGCCCTTTAAAAGTTAGTTTTCTATTTACGGACTTCTGTTTCTATACATCGTATTCTCTATGATGTGCCCAAGAGTGGATTGATTCTCATTTGTGGTATACCCAAAAGCACTTTTTCCTTATTTAGGGATGTCCTCACTGAAAATTAAGGAAATGGTTAGCCTGATTTATGTGTATGAAATGGGACATAAAAAATGAGGTCAGCTTCACTTAGTGTCTATACTATCTTGTTATAACTGTTACTCATGATAATTCCAAGTCCAGCAGCTCCACATTTTTCTCCTCCTAGTGAGCAGAGGCTAGGAAGTCAGTGGAGATCAGAGAAGGCCCAGCCAAATTCTAAATTTGAGATTAGGGTAAAAAATCTTAGAATGGAACAAGGAGTTGGCAGAGAGTGATAATAAATGTTCTTGGAATGATAAATTACACCAGTCATTTTGATAGATAGCTGCAAAAGTCCACTAATTTTCCCAATGCCTGTCTACATAGAAAATGAGGCAATATGCTGTCTGCAAATTGGTACAGATTTGTGCAAGCAAATTTAGATAGCGTCTACCAGAGCTCTGTGGAATGCTTTGTATATCTCATGTCATTCTCTGCTCAGATATAGGAAGACTCCATTATCGAATTGTATGTTGTCAATATTACTTTGTAATAATATTAACATCATTAATACTGTTACTATACCAGTTACAAATTGTTATTACTAGAGGCCAGAGAGGTAGAAATCATTCCCATGTATGTCTTACTTGAAATCTTGTTGATTTATAGTGTGTTATGCTATCTGTTTACTACAAATGTTATTGAAACCTCATTCACCATTTACTTTGAGTAAAGATTACAGTCTTATGATATGGGTATTAAAGTACAGTACTGGTACCAGAATTTATAGTTACCTGCACAATACTTGATAATGGTAATTTCCCACAGGGGAAATAAGTCATGTCAGAGAACCAGAGAGGTGAGAAAATTCTTGTCACTTTAAGGGTAATCTGGTAAAATATCTCCAAGGAGGCTTGACTAATGCCTTTATGAAGAGAGGAGCATGGTTAAAAAAAATTTAGGAAGACTTTTAAGGAACAATGAATAGTACCTACCAGGGCCCTTGATGTGCTCTCAAGGCTGTTGTGGTTGTATTATCTAGAGAAATAATAAAGATTCAGAGGATCCCAATTTTGTATGACATACAGATTCTGAAGTGTTTGTCCAATTCTGAGTCTAGGGATAGTCCTTGAATATAGAATGTAACAGAATCAAGCTTGTGATTACACTGATAAATATTCTTTCCAGACATTATATGCAAATTAAGTTATAATGGCATTGAAAGTATGATAAATAAAAAGTGTTGAGTGCTGTCCCAATATCCAGAGAGAGAGGTGGTGTTATATAGCATGTAACAGACAGCTGCATTTTAAGAAGTGTTTGGAGGCTCAATGTATTTTTGCATGGGAGAGTTGAAATATTTTTGATGTACAGGAGAGGGAAAACAAAAGCTGGTTCTACAATTTCACAGTAAGAAACATGGATAAAGATAAGACTTATATGGAAACATTGTAAAATGTCACCAGGTTGTCTCCGTGACTATCTTATTTTTCCCGATCAGCTCTATAATATCTTTCCATGGATAATGAAATATATTCCTGGATCACATCAAAAAGTTTTCAGAAACTGGGAAAAACTGAAATTGTTTGTCTCCTGTATGATTGATGAACACCGGAAAGACTGGAACCCTGATGAACCAAGAGACTTCATTGATGCTTTCCTCAAGGAAATGACAAAGGTGAGAGAGATACTTCTGTGTCATTTTCATAGAGACAACGCATTCATTTAATAATTTTCAATCAATCCTGCATCAGTCTACCACATTCTTAGAGTTTAACTTGGCACAGATTTATTCTTCTGCAGTTCTCATGATTTTAAATCCTGTTTACCACACGGAGTTCATTAAAAGGCAATGGAATGTTGCTGCATCTCTAACCTCCTAGAGAACACAGATATCTTGTGCTTTGGTTCCTTCCTCTGTCTTCAATTCCTAAACTATAACATCTCAATATCTTTGATCTATTTGGTTTTGACCATCCAGCCCCTTCTTACAAAGATAGTTCAGGGTAATTGTCCTCTCTCTAATTAATCAAATCTACAAAGTGTATTTTAGCTCATCAAGTAGCTTGTAAAGTTTCCAAAATGAAGATATAAATATCTTTGTATATCAATGCTTCATATAAGCCATATAAGTGAAATATTATAATCTTGGGGTGTTAGAAATACAGTGTCCTGAGTGTCAATGCACATGCTCCCCTTTCATCCTCTTCCTTGCCTTTTACCCATGCATGAGAGAAATATATACAAAGAGGAATTAGCAATTAAACTTCAGAGCTCTGTTTTTTGATGAGTCAATATAAAGCCAATTACTCATCGCAGGCATATTGCAGCACACAGGTGAAATTCAACTATTCAGGAGTTTGGTTTTAAGGTATAGATGGGGCATCTACCTTTTCATGATTGTATGCTTATAAACACCTTTCAATCACACAATCAAACAGAATTCAGCCAGTTAGGTGTATTTGTACTTTTGTATTTTGTGACAATAACTTGCAGAAACAGTTTAAGAGGTTGAAGGTCTATTTTTGGCTGATATTTTCAAGAGTTCCAACATGAAGAAAAATATATAGGAAAATGATGTGGTGGTATCAATTTATGTCATGGTAGAATAAGAATCTGAAACTGGCCAGGACCCAGGACTTTAACACAACCACAGTAATCCCATTTCTACTGACTGACTTCCTCCAGATGGACAACACTTGCCAATGTTCCAGACTCCCCTAAAATAGTTCCAGCAGCTAGAAATGAAATATTCAAAACTTGAGTCTGTAGGGATCATTTTAGATTTAAACTATACCACTATTTAATGCTTTGACATAAATAGTCTTCTAGCAAATACATGTCACTGAATCTGTCCTATGAGTTTTGACTCATTAGATTATAAATTCATTTTCTGCCCAGGACATAATAGTAAATTTCTTTCCTTGTTCTATCATATTTCATCTTTCTGACACAGTTTCAATAAAAATGACATTTTGTTCCCAGAAGAGGCGGCAAATTGTTCACTATATGGAGTACAGGTGTGAGGCTATCAAAATTATAAGCATGGAATTCTTCTTGATGGAATCAGCAAGGTGTTAGGTATGGAATATTAATGAAGAGACCAAAAATCAATAAATACAGAGAATTCATCTCAGTTCTGGAATCAACAAAAACACTTTGAGAGTTTTTCATATGTGTCTGTTGTGTCTCATACAGTTGATACGACATGGTAAATGATATATGTTATCCTCATTTTATAAACTCAAACAGAGAAAAGTAAAATGAATGTCTTAAATCATATAGTGACTTAGTGACTTATGTGATACTGGAAGCTAACTATGTGTAGGTGGGTTTTTCCTGTCCTATTTGTATTTCCAAAAGTATAGTCATATAGAAAATAGTTGTCTTGATATTCATCCACCTAAGTACCAGAAACTTCTGGTCAGCTCCAACAATTGGAGCAAAATAGTACTTTCTATTGAGGTCAAGGTAATATCATTTTCAAATGAACCCTTTCAAATTGATTACCTCGGATGAAGAATATCCTACATATCAATCTCCTTGTATTTGGATTATGATAATTCTCAGGATATCATTGTGTCCTGAGGAGGTCAAAGGTGGCATCACTTCAAGTAACAGCATTCACATTTGATACTCAGGATCAGAACCTGTGAATTTAAATAATCACAAAATTTCTGACTAAGCACTGTATTTTCCAGTGCCCAGATAAGACTACAAGTTTCAATGAAGAAAAGCTCATCTTCAGCACTCTGGACCTCTTCTTTGCTGGAACAGAAACAACATCGACAACACTGCGCTGGGCTCTGCTGTACATGGCCCTCTACCCAGAATCCAAGACTGCATGAGACAAAGCCAAATTCTACTTCTGTGAGCTATGGCTTAGACAGAGCCAGAAGATAACATGATGGAGTGGAAGGAAGTGGCATAGCTGTGAGGGAATGTGTACTTGGGAATAGGAAAGCCTTCTGCATTTTTCTGTGAGTGCTGAGATGGGTCCCAAGGGTGTAAACATGTACAGAATGCATCCACACATCTCCCTCTTCCTTTTTTAGTAGATCCCTCCCATTTTACCCTATACCCTGTCCAAACTCTCTATTCTGGTATTCTATGCACCGTGATATTATCTCTCTGCCTTTTTTGGTTCAGTTTCCACTCACCCTCTATAGTGCCTTTCCTATACTCTGTGTCCTCTCTTGGCCTTATTTGTGCCTCTAAGCCATGATTATCACTTCTTTACCACCAGTATTCTGTCACAGTATGTCTCCATTCTAGAAGAATGGTCTCAGCTATTACTTTTCTAAGTCATTTCAAATTCCTCCATGGATTTGATGATTTGGGAATAACTGTCATTCTTTTCCTCCAGTGACAACTGGATACTCCTCCATGGTTATGCTTAGCACATTGTTTTTTTCTCTACTGACTGGCATCTGTCAGGATGAGTGGTCCATCCTATCATTTTATTCCATCAAATTTTAGAAAAATTTACTCATTTGAAGATGTAAATAGTTTTCCTCTTATATAATACATGTTTTGTTTTTGCTCTTCTTATTTTGTTACTGTTTTTGTTCTTTGAATTTTTAGTAACAGTTCATTAGATATAAAATCAATTTAGTATACAGAGGCTCACTGTTTATGCCTTAAGACAAAAACAGCTTAGAAAAGTTCAGAGTGATTCTCATGTGGTAAAGAAAATTTTGTTTATAAAACAAACTGTGTGTGTGTGTGTGTGTGTGTGTGTGTGTGTGTGTGTGTAAACATGTGAAAGCCATAGCAAAGCTACAACGGTCACTCCTCAGAAACTGTCCACTTTTTGAGACAGAATCTCTCATTTACCATGATACTGTCAAGAAAACTACACTGTCTATCGAGTGAGACATGAGATATGCCTGTTGCCACCCCCTTAGTGCCCTGGGATTAGAAGTGCATGTTACCATACCCAGCTTTTTTCCATGAATCATAAGAATCAGACTCACGTCCTGATGCTTGCATAGCAATTCCTTTATTTGAGCTTTTGTCCTTTTGTTGTTGTTGTTGTTTCAATTGTGAGTAACAATTTATTCATGAGGTATAAAATCAATTTACTAGATGTAGGCCAACTGTATTGCCTTAAGATGAAAATAGAAGAGCAAAACCCAGAGTGTTTCCTATATGGTAAAGACAATTTTGTTTATAGAATTATCACATCCATCTACCCCTCGGACTGTGTGTGTGTGTGTGTGTGTGTGTGTGTGTGTGTGTGCATGTCTGTGTGTGTGTGTACATTTGGAAGCCATAGCAGAGCTGCTAATATAGTTCCTCAGATACCATTCACTTTTTGAGACAGGATCTAATACTCACCTAGAATTTGTCAAGGAAAATACATCTTCTACCAGTAAACCATGGGATATGTTTGTTGTCACTTCCTAGGGCCCTTGGATTATAAGAATCAATTATAAGAATCAGACTCTAGCCCTCATGCTTGCAGAACAATCACTTTACTGGAGCTATCTTCCACACCCTAACATTTTCCTTTATGCATGCAATATATATGTGTGTGTGTGTGTGTGTGTGTGTGTGTGTGTATTTACCTGAACAATAATCTTTTTAGATTTGAAAGCTAGCTAATGAGTTAGCATTCAGACTTGGCCTCTAGAATAGTAGCTTCAAAATAACAATAGATTTGCATGAAAAGTTACACTGGTCTTCATTTTGAAATACACACAATAGTCCAGAGTTAGGACTAGTAAGACCGTTCACTGACCTCAAATGAATGCATGAGTTAAGAGCAGCTGTTCATCTGGAAAGAAAGAACTTCTTATTGTTACCTAGTAATGCATGAGTTACCAGGAAACTGCCCTAGGTTTCAGTAAATCATATGAACTGTCCTATGTAACTCAAATTAGTTATATTGAAAAGTTAGATATCTATACAAAGGTGATTGACTAAAAGAGGAGAGAACCAGAAATTGTATAATATCACAGAGCTTTGATTTTGCAAGATAGAAAAGTACTAGCTGTTATTTATAAATAGGAAAACACTTAATATTATTGAACTGTGTAGTTAAAAATTCTGACAATAATTGTGATTG